TAAAAAAAAAAAAAAAAATGGTAATGTAGTTTTTTTTTAAATTTTTCCAAAAATTTCCCCCCCCCCCCCCCCCGAAAAAAACTGGGGGGAAAACAGGTTTTTTCCGAGCTTCAAAATTTCTGGAAATTTTACATCTCTAGTCATGTCATAGAAAATGGAATTCCTTTTCCCAAAAAAACTGTCTGATATATATCAGATTGCAGGAAAATGCTTTTCTGTTCCCTGTATTGCTATATATATATATATCAAATAGCTGTGGGCTATTTGAGGATAAAAAAATTGCAGAGGGGGCATGTAGGGTGATGGTAGATGTTTCTGCAAACCTGAGGTAGTCTGATTGTACTAAATCCTAGAGGAGGACAATGAGGAGTCCTTAGCTAGATTGGGACCTCCCATCTAGTTTCTCTGTATTCAGTACAACTGGTATCTTTCCAGATGGTCAAAGATGTTCAAATAAGCAGGATTGTGCCTCCTCCAGCGGCAATATTGTGCCTTCGCCAGAAGTAATACAATGCTAGTAGCAATTACTGGTTCTGGGACAGGGAATGGTGTTTTTTATTGCTGTCAAGTCACAGCTGATTTATTGCAATCCTGTAGGATTTTCAGAACATGAGACATTCAGAGGTGATTTGCCAGTGCCTGCTTCCACACCATGGCCCTGGTATTCCTTGGAGGTCTCCCGTACTAGCCAGGGTCAACCCTGCTTAGCTTCTGACATCTGACTAGATCAGGCTAGCCTGGGCTATCTAGGTCAGGGTACCTATGTCTTACAAGAAGGAATTTAGATATGAGTGATTAATTCAGATTTGGGTAGGTGGAAAGATTAAATGCATTAAAAGCTTAATGCTAACTGTAGAAGAATCAAAAATTGAGGATCCAGGCTTGGGTTGTATATGCTTCTTCCCTCGGATTTTTCTAACTAAGCCTGTGCAAACGGGACACTATGAGATGCAGTTGCTCCTCATGGAGTTAGTCTTCCAAGCACCAGAAATGCTTTAAGTAATGACAGTTGCTACTGTTAAATTAATCACATCATTTCCACTACTGCAGTGATGATCTGGGATGATCTGAAAAAGAAGACAGTTATTGAAATAGAATTTTCCACAGAAGTCAAAGCCGTCAAGCTTAGAAGAGACAGGTGAGTCAGTGCAGTTTATTTTTCAGAGGGCCCATTTTGTTTATGTGGGGCTGTTTCATTGACTCAACTTTTTATGTGGAAGCTGTGCTGAAAGGGAATGGGGACATTCTCTTGTTGTCCCTATACTTCCCTCTCACCTGAAATCAGGCTTCCATTAGGAGTCTTACAGGATCTCACGATGGGAATAATTTAAGCTTCTCCCTAGTGTAGGAGATACACAAATTTTGAACAAGTCTGGGAAGCTCGAAGAAAATAAGAAACACAAGTCAACTAAACTTTCCCCTTACATATTGTAGAGACTGAAACCCCTCTTAAAAATCAGGAATTTTTAGATCCTTTTTGTGACTAGAAAGTGATGGGCTGAGAACCCTATATGATAAAAAGGCTGGGGTTTTCTTCCACTCTTGATTTTTCTTGAAATTTGGTGAGTGCAGTTGAGAAAATCCATACTGCTGTTGTCAGATTAAAATAAATTAGTTCTGAAGGTGGTTTTGTTGCTGTATTCTTGGGGCAAAATTGCAAGCAAATGTGTACTTGATACTGGACCAAACTTAGCTGAATATAATGATCATCAGTAACATGAACATGTGGGGCTTTTCTCTTTCAGAATTGTAGTCATTTTGGACTCTATGATTAAAGTTTTCACGTTCACGCACAATCCTCACCAGTTGCATGTCTTCGAAACCTGCTACAACCCAAAAGGTAAATTGTCTCCATTACAAAAAATAACAGCTGATGCTGCCCATTTCTATAATTTTTGCTTGACATTTTGAGAATTCCTGTTCTGAAATTCCTTGTATCTTTGCCAGCTGACTGTTATGTTGCTTAGACATACCTTCTCTGCTTAGGTGCAGTAGCAAAGCTGAGGAGGGTGATTGTCTTGTGGCTTCCTGGTACTGCCTGATGGGATCTGGAAAGTCTACTGTGGGATAATTTATTTATTTATTTTATTAAACTTATTAATTGGCCACCCTGCGAGCAGGCTCTGGGCAATTTACAACATTATGGAGATTAAAAATACAAGTAATATATAATCAAAGTTTTACTGACAATAAAACAGAAAGTTAAAACCAATCAAGATGGAAATAAAGCAGTCCTCCTTTGCTGGTTACACCGCTATCCCGCACAGCAGGGCAGGGAAGGGCAGTGCTAATTATGAATTCTGCCACATGTAGATTAATCTGCCTAGTTTATATTTTGTTGTATTTATATAAACTTAGGGGATCATATCCTGATATCAGCTTCCAGTGATGGAAGGCTAACAGGTTAGCAGGTTCTTGGAGAATGCAGGCATTCAATCCACCAGTCTGTTAGCCTGTCAGCTAACAGGTTAACAAGGGCACTGCTGTTGTCAGAGAAGGAGTGATTTCTGCTATTTCTCCCTTCTACTAAAGGCCACCACTTTGCCCTCTGTGCTGTTCATGAATGTTCACTCACCATGAGGAGCAAAATCCCACCTGGGGCGGTGATGCTCAGTGATTTTGAGTGGAAGGGGAAGGCAGAACCATCTGTAGATCTTGTAGGATACAAGTCAGCTTCTGCTAGTCTTAAACCTGAATGCTAGTCTTAAGCCTCAGGGGTGGGTACCCAGAAACTTTAGTTATACCTTCTTATTTCCAGGGATGGGGTGGAGATGTGATTGTAAAAAGAGCTAGTCTTCATTACTTTCCATTGTATTTTAGGTCTCTGTGTACTGTGTCCAAACAGTAATAATTCCCTGCTTGCATTCCCTGGAACACATACTGGACATGTACAGATTGTGGATTTGGCAAACACAGAAAAACCTCCTGTAGATATACCTGCTCATGAAGGAGTCTTGAGCTGCATAGCTCTCAACCTGCAAGGAACAAGGATTGCCACAGCATCAGAAAAAGTAAGCAAATAATCATGTTGAACATTTGGCCAGGAAGGTACCTGGCCATTCTTAATTGAAATCTGACAGTGAAATTGACAGGGAAATCTGTAGGGTCTACCAGAGGGAAAGAAGGCATTCTAATATGCCTCCTTTCCCACCGGTGGTATAAATTGGACCAGAATATATTCAGGAATACCGAATATAGCCCCAATCCAAATACCTTACCAGTATTTTACTGGGGAAATTCGGTATTTACTGATATTTTTCGGGTCTGATTTACCTGCACCCGAAAAATACCGGCTTTTTTTTTTTTAACACCCCTACTTGTAACTGACCCAAGGTCACACCAGCAACTGTATGTGGAGGAATCATACCCGGTCCGTGCTCCTAACCACCAATGTTCCCTCTAAGTTGTAGAGTCCTGTGAGCAAAAATTCTACTTTGTGAGCTACCGGCATTAAAGTTGTGAGCAGGTGATTTGAACACACATAAATTAGTGTGTGCTGGAGCCATCCTTCCTGAGCTGAGACAGAAATGTGTGAGCCGGAGGCTAAAAAACTGTGAGCTAGCTCACACTAACTCAGCTTAGAGGAAACACTGCTAACCACTACACCAAACTGGCTCACAGAGTTTAACAGCTGAGTGGGATCTGAAGCGAAGACATTCTGACAGAAATCCAGCATTCTAGCCATTACATCACACTGTCTCTCTAAAGTAATGAAGGAGGGACAATGGAAATTTAAGCACAGCATGCATATTTTTAGATACTGCTTTTGATCAGTTTTGAACAAGAGTGTGGTTTGGATACAGGGCATTGTTTATGTGGGTGCATGGATTTCAGTGGCTGGAGCACAGCTTTCTCACATCTTGTTGAACCCAAAAATTCCCACTGAACTGCTGTTCCTGGGAGTCCTCTGTTCCCCAGGAGCAGCATTTTGGGCTGCAGCAAAAGGGGAAAGGCCAGAAAGTCACATTCCTTCAGTGGAAATACTTTCCCCACAGAAATGCTTCTGTGGAGCCAAGCCTGTATTTAAATCCTATGCTTTCCTTCAGCTTGTGCATAACAGAGCATACTGCGTGAGCTGGGCATGCCTAGTGCTGGAGGGACATGATTCATAATGCAAGTCATGTTGTGTTTAAAGAAGGAAAGTATCATTTCTCAAGCAGTAACAGGAAATAAGAGAACATTACATGTGGAAGGAACAACATGTAGCATGGAATGATAGTAAAATAATCCAGAACAGCCATATCTGGTTAAGCAAGTAGGAATGTCCTTATGCCTGAACTGTTATTGGGAGATTTAATTCTGATTTTGAAAAGCTCTTTTCTTGTATCTTACATTGCTTTTCAAGGGAACTCTTATAAGAATATTTGATACGTCATCAGGGCATTTAATCCAAGAGCTGCGCAGAGGGTCTCAAGCTGCCAATATCTACTGGTAAGCGTTGTTGTTTTGTCAATGGGTTTAAGGGAGCCATGGCACCATATTTTGCATTGGCTTAAAAGGGGACAAGATGGCCAGTGCACAAAAAAGGGGAGGAGTATATACTCTTACAGCTGTTACTGGGATTTATGTAGATAAGTGATGTGGATTCTCACGTGAATATATTTTTGGTCATCTACTGCATTATATGACAAATGGATCACATTTCTGGCCAAATCAATATTGTGTGCACCACATCAGTTAAGCTTAAGTAGTACTAGGCTTGTCCTTTCTGGGATTTCAGCAAATATGTAGCATTAGCAAAAATGTTCAGTGAGCTGAAGTCTGGAACAATACAGTGGGCAGTAGTGCAGAGCCGAAAGGTGAATTTTGCGAAGAAAAGTATGTGGGATATAAAATAAACCCGTTGAACAGATACGTGTTCCAGATTTGTGAGCCAAGATTGAAAACCTGGATCTTTTCTTCTCAGTTCAGTTAGGTGCTTTGAGTCCTAAATCTTTTCAGTTTTTCTTACAGTGAAAACAGTTGACTTCCATTTAGATAAAGGTTGTAATATTTTTATTTATTCCTATAATCAAACCGGGAGGACACTTTAATGTGAAAATAAGTCCCACATACATTAAGGAGCAGTAAACATTTATTTTAAAGATGTGAATAGCTTTTCTGTGTGTGTTTCTTAAGGTGTCCGTCTTTTCTCTTTTTACTGCTTAGTTACCAGTAGCTGCTACAGCTGTACTCTAGTATCTGTGGATTTAGGATAACCTGCTTGGTTTCAGTGGAGATCTGTTAATGTAGCTTTCATTCTCTTGCTGTGGGGCGTGCCTTTGTTCCAGAAAATTTCCTAGGAGGATCCAGTTTCATGGATTCCAACCTCCTCGGGTGGGGATTAGCTTCTCTGGGGGTTCACTATATGTAGATGAAAAAGAAAATACAATGCTAGGAAATGTTAACTACTTCCTTGTTTTGATAAGTATGATGCAGTGTTCCATATACGTTATCTGTAACGCCAGTTTGGTGTAGCGGTTAAGTGTGCGGACTCTAATCTGGGAGAACCGGTTTGATTCCCCACTCCTCCACTTGCACCTGGCTGGATGACCTCGGGCAAGCCGTAGTTCTAATAAGAGCTGTTCTTGAAAAAGAGCAGTTTCTGTCAAGAGCTCTCTCAGCCCCACCTACCTCACAGGGTGTCTGTTGTGGGGAGGGGAAGGGAAAGGAGTTTGTAAGCAGCTCTGAGACTCCCCTGGGTAGTGAAGGGCGGGGTATAAATCCAATCTCCTCCTCTTCTTCTTGCTCCAAGACAGTGATGTTATAAACAAATTTATTTTTGACTTTTCCATCAGTATTAACTTCAACCAAGACGCTTCTCTCATCTGTGTGTCAAGTGACCATGCCACAGTGCACATCTTTGCTGCAGAGGACCCAAAAAGGAACAAGCAGTCAAGGTAAGATGCTGGATGGGATGAAAGTCAACAAACACAGGATGGATTAAAAACAGTGCTTTTAAAGTTCAGTTGGGACTTTGGATACAGCTTGAGCTATTTTTAATAAAATGAAATCTCAAATGAGATGGTTTCATCTCCAAATGACTACCTGAGCTTAGTAAATGACTGGATAAGAGTAAATAAATTGAAACTTAACCTAAGCAAGACAGAGTTGCTTATAGTAGGTAAACTTAGGACTGGTGAAATTATAAAGAATGGATGAGTGTGGTGAAGTTGCTTTGTAAGTGATCTTGGAACTGGGCTTCTTGTAGCCGATACCATATTTTATTAGCTGATTCGCCTATGTACCTTCTAGGAATTGAAAGATTTGACTGCATCTGCTTGCAGTTTTGGTGACCCAGTTGGATTATTGTAATGTGCTCTGAGGTTGTGCTTGAAAGCTTTTAAGAAGTTACAGTTGGTCTAGTATTCATCAACTTGTTGTGTACTAGTTACCAGTGTATTTTCTGACTAAACTCAAAATGCTAGTTCTTGCCTTTTATGATACTGGCCTGGTGTAATTGAGGTGTAATATGTAAGAACATAAGAGAAGCCAATGTTGGATCAGGCCAATGGCCCATCCAGTTCAACACTCTGTCACACTGTGGCCAAAAGTACCAGATACCATCAGGAGGTCCATCAGTGGAGCCAATCACTCTCATTAAGATCTGATAACCATCTGGTGGTTCCACCTGATCAAGATAATGACACTGTTTTAGTTGGGCTGTTTTAGTGACAGCATCTGTTCTATGGAATCTTCTTCCTGCTCGGGTTTGCCTTCAAGATTCCTTTATTCATCTGGGCCTCTTGAAATTAGGTGAATGCTATTGTTTTAGTTTTCTCTTTGCATTTAGCTACATTTTTGTTATAGTGCATTATTTTGTATACTTTGAAAGCATCCTTTGACGAGTCAGGTTTTCTAAATAAGTTAAATGAACTTTCCAGTGTCATGCCTTCCCAGTTGTTCTGAGTGTTAAAACAGGATGGAGGACAGCTGAATCCATACTGTGTTGAACATGACAGAAGAGTTTTAATTTGCATTTGTAATGTTTAAGAATCATTGCAGAACTATTAACACTACACTACACTCATGGTATTCTGAGTTATGGCAGATTGCAATAGCTGAAAAATTAACAAGTCAAATTAGAATTATCAAATCCAAAGCCGAAACTGTAGACTTTTTTGAAACGTGGCATGATTTTATTTCATATACAACTCAGAACAATACTCGAAGTATGTTTAAGCCCTTCCTCAGATTATGGGATAAAGTTAAGTAAGCCCCACTCTCTATTTTAATCATGTTGTAACTATACATTAATTATGCATGTTTATAGGAGGAAAAAAGGAAGAAAAAGGGAAAAGATTTCCATGTCTTTGTATTTATGCTAAATGTTGAGCTCTCTACCAATGCCTTAATTTTTTTGCTTTTTGCTTTTTATATTTTTTTCTCTTTTTTGTTATGTGTACATTGTAGGTTGTTCTATATGGGGAGTGGGGTGTGTACTTGATGTTTATGTTTGTTTTTTATATTTAAATATTTATTTCGGGGGCGTGAATCATTGTGGGGCAACTTTTTTCTCTTTGCTATGGCTACATCTTTGCAGCTTTTAAATGAAGTATTTCTAAAAATAGTTTCTATCCCCGAGACTGAAAATCTAGCTTCTGTCTATGAGATTGGCTTTATATGGCCTTAGCTGCAGCTAGAAGCCAGTGTGCTTTGTTACAAGTTTTTTGTATCTCTTTCTCTTTCAGTCTAGCATCGGCCAGTTTCCTGCCCAAATACTTCAGTTCCAAATGGAGTTTTTCCAAATTTCAGGTTCCCTCTGGTTCCCCTTGCATCTGTGCCTTTGGAACAGAGACAAATTCTGTCCTAGGTAAGGTTCTAGATTTTTGTGTATGCACACACACAGAGAGAAAACCATCCTAAAACATATCCTGAGATTAAGCAATTATGTCTGCAGAAGTAAGCTTTTTAAAGCTCCATCCTAAACCTATTCACTTGCTGTAGTCCAGTTTGTCACTGGGGTTTAATTCCAGGAAAATACGCATACTTGTACCTTTAGAGTGGCAGCAGTTATGAGTGTAATCAGAGTGCAAGGCCCAGTGCTCAAGCCTGTCTTGAAATTGTATCAGCACCTATGATCTATTTGAAGCGTGGGGGTGGGTGTGAAGGTATTTGAGCTGCATTTAATCTAAGTGTACAAAGGATTTTACTTGTTCCTTGTTATCAATTTGTTGTATATAATTGTCTCCTAGAAAACAGTACTTTGGGCCTTGTACTTGCAAGTAATGGTAGCTTCTCTTGCTGCTTTGATTGCACAGTAGAAACTGCTCTGGGAGAAAAAAAAAAGTAAACATGTTGCCAGCCTGAAAAGAATCTTTCTTTCTTTCTTCTAGCAATCTGTGCAGATGGCAGCTACTATAAATTTTTATTCAACCAAAAAGGGGAATGCTCCAGGGATGTCTATGCTCAGTTCCTAGAAATGACTGATGACAAACTTTGACTGCACGGATGGAAATATTGGGAGAAGGGGGAAGAGGAAGAGAGATGAATGTATTCTTCTCCTGAATCTTTTTCCTCTCTGAAGAGACAGCATATAACTATCCCAGCAGTCAGCGGTGCTGCTCAAGATGGAACAGATGATCTGAAGAAGTCCAAGCCAACACAGTCAGAGCCAGCTGCAAGGCAGAGGACTAATACAGCATATCCTGTCAACAACTGTCTTTAAATGCTAGTTTTGGCTGCTGCTGTACTTCAGTTTTCTTAAAGTTTCAATCACCTCTCTCTAACTTGTGAAGCTTATTGTATGTTATGCCATCAGCCTGCAGGGGAGGTTTTAACAATTTCTTACTCCTCAAAAAGATATTAAAAATCCAATTTTTGTGTTATGGTTGTAGGGCAATAGGAAGGACATGCCAGACAACTTGGGATATTTATACCAGCAGTTCCTGCTTTTAGAAATGTCTATTTCCTCATCTAATACTACACAGAAAGAGATCACAGCAGATTTCCTCTGAGTTACCCTTGCTCAGGAATAGATAGAACGTACAAGACCTTATTTCCATACTGTTGTGGATTTGTATTAATTTGTCAGAGGTGCCAAAATACACATCCTACAAATGGCATTAAGCACTGTTGGCCTAAATCATCCTGCAGGGTAGAAAGTAAGCTACGTAGAACAATCGTGGGGGCTGTGGATCTGGTAGGTAAGTATGTTTAGATAATATAACCATTCCAAACATTTTGTTTTTCCTCGATGTGTTTGCACTTACGTTGTACAGTGGCAGGCCTACAGAAAAGTAGTCTGTAATGACTAGCAGTATATATGCTGTTCTTTTCTGCTGTAGCCTGTTAGGTATCAATATCATTCTGCAAACTTAGCATGTTTTGAACAAAGTTTGGTGGCCATTTAAACCATAAGTGATCAATCCTTCAGGCATACAACCGTAGTTCAGGTGTTTTGGAAACAGGTATATGCACACTCAAACTGAAATCACTACCACCCCTCTCAACTAAAAACATCTTTAATTCCCTTTAAAAATTCACACACGCTTCAAAATTAACTGAAGCCTTAGGTTAGAATTGTAAGGTATTTGAATGTCATTTAACTGAACCCTATATTCATATTTGCTAGTTTGCATGTTGCTTTTTCATGTGTATTTAATCATGGAAGTTGTTTTGCACACTTTTTGTAATCTTTTAATTAAAATTGACTAATTTGCTGTATTCATTTTATGGTAATGAGAGGAGTTCTCTATGTAGTCACAGCTTCCTTTCCTATTCTGCTCTGGGTGGTGGTAGATGATTTCATTTTTAAATGGCTGGAACTTTTTAGTGGAAAATTCATAAATAATGGTACATTCTGAGTTGCCCCTACTGTGGACTCCATTGGGTGGCAATCATACCTTTGTAGCTACCATTTTCGTTGTCCTCCATTCCTGCTCTCCCCCCCTGACATCTGCTCTGTTCTAGTTTGAAAATGAATACCATTATTTAGAACTTTTATATGCTTCCTCTTCAGTGACCTGCTTGTGTGAGCTAATTTTAAGCAAATTCCAATGCTGCCTTCTCTCTGCCCTTGCCCTGCTATGGCCGTTATCCCCCGATGCGTTATGGTGTAAGATAACTTCACAGATCTTTTTGCTTGGTACTTTACAGGGTTTTAAACAGTCCCATTTGCAAAATTTGCTTTTCATGCACACTCAAAGAAGTAAAGAGCAATGGGATTCATCTCCTCTCCTGACCACAGCCCCAAAAGCTCCTTCAAATTCTGTTCTACAAAGACAGGAGACCCTTATTAAAAGCAGGAGGAGGAATTGGCAAAAAGTTATTGCTGGATCCAACCTGTTAAGTAACCAAATAAGGCTCAGACAATTTAGTTTAACACAGCTGTCTAGAAGCCGGAAATGAGTCTGACTTAAATATATACACATTAAAATATAAATATTGCATAAGTGATTTCCATACAATTTTCTTAGCCCAAATTATTATTGGGGGGGGGGGTTTCAGCAACTGCCATAGTAATAATAGCAAAGTAAACCTGTACTACAGTGTCCTCCTAAACATGTTAGTCCTTTCCTTCCTTCTGTTAAAACCCCCTCACCACTCGAATAGTAACATCAAAATCCAAGTGTGAAAGAAGCCAGGTAATCTGAGATTCTACAGTCACAACAAGTATCAGAAATAGATGAAAAAAGGGGCAAGAGGAATTTATTCTTGGCTTCTGTTCTCAGAACATGTGATAAAACTAAACATGTTAGTCTAACTAAGCCTTAGTATATAATGTGTTCTAAGTCTTAAATATAGGCCTTACAGCAAGAACATGCATGTAGCACTTATGCACAGTAGTGCATTATGACAATGTCCCCTTTGTCTCCATGTATGCTTCTGCAATCATTATTAATTATGTGTAACCTGCCCTGACTGTTGAGAAAGGTGGACTATAAATACTGTAAGGGCTGGCTGAGATGTTTGCAACACAATTCAAAGGATGCAGATACAAGGTGCTGTATAGGAGGTGAATAACTGCTGCTGCTATATGCTAGCATTGCCTGTTTATGAGGTTAAACATTGCTTCTATTTGCACAGTTGCAGCTTCAGGGTTGCCTCTATTACTTGTAGGGCATGGGTTTGTCTCCTATGCTATTGCCTAAAGTGAGGGTTTTATTGAGTAGCTGCCACAGAACATATTAGGAAAGCTTTTAAAAAGCCGTACTGTATCATTCTGTTACATGGTAGTATTTGAGCACAACTGTTTTTGCACAAGGATCCAATTACCTGGGAAAGTTAAATACTTAGCGAACTATTAAGGTTACAATGTTTCTGTCAGTGTAGAAGCTGTACTTGGTTGCTTTTAGTCTTCTAGTCAAGGTCTTGTTATGCATATATGGTTATCTTATTAAACTTGCACAAAGCATTTATAAGATTAAACCAGTTTGTGCATAAGTAAACCCTATGATGATCAAGCTGCAAGTGAGCCTGGTGAAAAAGATCACTGACAGCTACAGACAGAGCTACAGAGGTGTCCTTTTTCCACTTGAGAGAATTTTAAAGTATTACAACAGTATGGAAAAACATTTCAACAAAGTTGTGAAATATTTATCGTAACCTTCATCTAATAAGCTTAATTTGGCGCACATGTTTTTTCTCTCCACCTTCACAACCATCCTGTGAAGTAGGGTAAGTTGTGAGCAACAGCCTGGTTCAAGGTCACAATGAGTTTCATGGCTCAGTAAAGATTTGACCCCATTCTCCCATGCCCTAGTACAACACTTTAACTATACCACATTATCCCAAAACAACACAACAGGCTCAGTTCTATCAGACTTACTGAGTCAAAGCAAATACATAACCTGGGATGCAGGGTGTACGGAGGGAGCTGTCCCTGGCTAATACTGGCAACTGTAGGAGCCTTAATCCTCAAGAGCACTACCTTTAAATTTATCTCAAGTGGAAAAGGGACAGAACAATGAGGACAGAAAGTTGCCCCTCACCTTGCTACTTGACTATATACAAAGTAAACGTTTTCTCCCCTCCCAAGGGCACTTACAATATACAACAGACATTTTAAAATTTAAAGTTGCTTGCTTTAATGTTTAAATTCTGTGAAAGAGCATGATTTGATTCAATTTAGGAAAATAAATTCTATCCACAGTGCTTGGAAAGAAATATCTACGTAAACCAAATCATTTTGTAACAGTAAAATCAAATTCCTGCAATGTCCTAAGGCCTAACTGTTGACTCAACTGACAATTTACAACATTTCAGCTTCCACGGTTACCTATTAAATCCTTTTTCTGTGTTCTCTCTACTTAATTCACAAACTACCCTGAACATAAGATGTACAAGAACTTCAACCAGAATGAATAATTTTGATTGACTGGAAGTATTTCACCAGATTTTTTTTATTCAAAAGCTTCCATCAATGTGCCTAGTATTCATTAATCAGTAGGTTTGTATCCAAGTCTTTCCCCAATTATTCGATATTGTGGCTTCTAAATGAGGTGACTACAGTGCAAAAAGTAGAATGGTGCAGTTACAGAAATTAGATTTTTACTCCTTATTGTGGCTGTTATAAATTCAGCTAGTGTACAGCAATTTTTCATAATCTTTTAATATGTATTATCTGCAATGACACTGTGACAGTTCTATTGTGTGGGTTAACATGATACTCGGTACAGATTTCTTGTATTTGGTCTTCAGATAAAACAATTTCTAACAACTGTCTAAATTATAAGCCACTCCAAGTCACTTCAGTCCATCAAGAAAATACAGGTGGTTCTTGTAGTAAAGGTGGAGAAAAGACATAAATAATGGTATTGCCAAAAAAGGAAGTGGAGGGGAGAGGAGAGGACAAATCAAAGGTTAAAGCCCAGTCTTCACCTTTAACTCACCTTAATATGTGACAAGATAGTGTGCAAATTAAGGATATAAGAGCAGCCTTAGCTCTTCGTTCAGTTCAGTTCTGAAATGCAAGGTGTATTCTAGTATCACAACTCTTGAGAAGTAGTTTTAAAATGTTCAACTGCAGAACACACACTTTAAAAAAATCACATTTATTATAGCACAGTAGCCACTGTTAGAAAACCACAATAGCTACTCTTAATGAAGACCTTAGAAGGTCTATGTATGACATCAAAAGTTAAGGATAAACTCGTCAGATTAATTTCTACTGGTGGGGTGCTTATGCTTAAAAATATTGAATATACCTCTGACAAGATTTTTTTTTCTTTTAAAAGGACTCGTGATAAAGAATTTTCTCTTTTCTAAATGAACAGTCGGTCATTTTAAACATACACAATATTAAGCGAGACTCTCGTTTTACTTTAGACTGGAAAAGTATGCCAGGGACAGTCAAAGTCAACACAAAGTAACAAACAGCAAAAGGTAGCAAGAAAGAGAAACAAGTAAGTGCAGCTCTGGTCAAATTCATAGCAGTTCTTTACGTCAGTTAACGGCTCATTTACACTGTAATTTCTAATCAGTTACATGCAAGCCCAAAGAAGAATTTGATCACTACACAAGGTAATACAATTTGATTAAATTTATCAGGCAACTGCTAAAATATGAAAATTTGCAGATGTAACAAAGTAGCTTTATCTGAACAGGACAAAATTAAATCATTCCATTGGTTAAAAAACCCTACATTCAGTTTTACCAAACAAAATTTCACATGAAAAGTATTGTGTGATTCCAAAGTTTCTGGAGTAGAAATGGAGTGATTTGAAATGTCAAAGACCCCATTATTTTGAAAAGAAAATGAAAGTACACGTCAAAAATTTCTAATTCCACATGTGAACAACAAAATACTGCATATCTACCAACAACTGCATCGGGTAGGTCATTATGAAAGGCTAGCTGCCAATATGTAGGAAATGGCTCCTTGCCTCTGTTCCCTTTGAGGAATATACAATCGTTTGAAATCCAGTCATATGAAGCGCTTATCATGCTGTGTGATATACCAAGATACTCAATCCTTAAAATAATCCGATAGAGGTTTTTAAAGTTGCAGCCTTCCCCAACTTTGTATTTCTCAGTGTGTACGGAGTCACTTCAGAATGGCAAGGAGGAGTGGGGGGTGAGGGGTCACAGCCTCTGGAACAAGATGGTTTACAGTTTTGCTTTATTTCTTTGCTTAAATTAGAAGTTCTAAGGCCACCTGTGTTTTTCTCAGTGCTGAAAGTTGAAGTCTGATCACAGGGCCCCTTTCCCCACTGTGTGAGAACATGTTCAATGTTTTAGGTGTTTAAATGTCTCCTTTTGGCACCATGGAGCATTATTTTAAAAAGAAATATTCCTCTAAGTTCCTAGTTCTGGCTGCTTTGTTCACTCATTGCCACTGGTGGGGTGTCAACATTCACAGCAATGACTATGCTTTCCCCATCCTCTGTTTTGATACGTTTCAATTCTTGCTGTTCAGACTGGTCTCCATTCTGACGTTTTGTTGGAAGAGAAGCTGAAGCAGACGCATGGGTAGCTAACATGTGTAAGGGACTTGCAGCAGCTGTAAGAGTTTTAAAAAGCACAGAGTAAACACAGGCAAAGTAAAAACAAACCTTATTCCGTGACAAAATATTAGCAGTACAAAAATGCCTTAAAAATTATTAGTACTACACTAGGCTATTCCAGGTTTCATGAGTACCTGTGGAGTTAACCTTAATGAAATGGCAAAAGATGAAGATGGAGAAGCAGAAGCATCAGTGACACAAGCAGTACATTTCCAGGGGAAGCAATGGGACTGCTTGTCTGCAACTGTTCACTATAGTCGCACAAGGAACCACAACTACACAGACCATATGCAGAACCTAGAAGACTGGCAGCTGTCCCCCTCCCCTCCAGAAGTGGGGCCTGCATCTTCCTGCTCAATTCCATCCACTGACTCTGGAGAGAGAATGGCTAATAAGAAACCCAGCCATAAAGATCATGACCTCCGGACAGATTCTTCTTGCAAGAATGGAGGGCAGCTTTGTTTTGTCATGGGTTCTGTGCAGTCCCATGAGACATCAGTGAGATCTTATTCACATGGCAGGAATAAATGAAGAAGATTTGGTTTTTATACCCTGTTTTTCACTACCCGAAGGAGTCTCAGAGCGGCTTACAATCTCCTTCCCTTCCTCTCCCAACAATACACACCATGTGAGGTAGGAGGGGCTGAGAGAGCTCTGAGAGAACTGTGACTGACCCAAGGTCACCCAGTTGGCTTCATGTGGAAGAGTGGAGAATCAAACCCAGTTCTCTAGATTAGAGTCTGCTGCTCTTGGCCACTATAGCACATATGAGATCATATGAAGACAGAATCAAGTATAATTCTCCTGAACATCTGTGAATCGAGGGCACAATGGGTTACTTGGTGGTAAGTGGCAATACCCAGGTAACTGTTCTGCAGATATCCACAATGGAAATACTCCTAACATCACAAAAAGCTGGAATCCTTAAAAAAACCATCAGTCGTTAATGACAAGGCCCAGCAGAGCTGAACCTGTAATGCTGTTCCCCTTGAGAGATCCACAGTGAAAAATGCTTCCATTTTGTCACATGACTTCAGCAGTTTCCTCACACTAATCAATTTCCCTGAGAGAACTAGAGAAGCAGCATTTAAACCCAGCAATGCAGAGACTGAATCTCTAAGCAAAGAATTTGACACTCCATTCCTATATATAAGACATAAGAACATAAGAGAGGCCAATGTTGGATCAGGCCAATGGCCCATCCAGTCCAACACTCTGTCACATAGTGGCCAAAAATACCAGGTGCCATCAGGAGGTTCACCAGTGGGGCCAGGACACTAGAAGCCCTCCCACTGTTGCCCCCCCCAAGCACCAAGAATACAGAGTATCACTTGCCCAGACCAAGAGTTCCTACCTATACCTTGTGGCTAATAGTCACTGATGGACCCCTACTCCATAAAAAGGTAAAGGTAAAGGTTTCCCTTGCTCAAAAGCCAGTCGAATCTGACTCTAGGGTTGCGGTGCTCATCTCAGTTTCCAAGCCGAAGAGCCAGCGCTGTCCAAAGACATTTCTGTGGTCATGTGGCCGGCATGACTAAACGCTGAGGCGCACGGAACACTGTTAGCTTCCCACCCCTGCTCCATATGTTTATCCAATTCCCTCTTTAAGCCACCCATGGTTGTAGCCACCAACACCTCCTGTAGCAGTGAATTCCATGTGTTAATCACTCTTTGGGTGAAGAAGTACTTCCTTTTATCCATTCTAACCTAACTGCTCGGCAATTTCATTGAGTGCCCACGAGTTCTTGTATTGTGAGAAAGGGAGAAAAGTACTTCTTTCTCTACCTGCTCTATCCCATGCATAATCTTGTAAACCACAATCATGTCACCCCTCAGTATCATTCTAGTTGCCCTTTTCTGCACTTTTTCCAATGCTATAATATCCTTCCTGAGCTGTGGTGACCAGAACTGTACACAGTATTCCAAATGAGGTGACACCATCGATTTATACAGGGGCAGTATGATACTGGCTGATCTGTTTTCAGTTCCCTTCCTAATAATCCCCAGACTAGCATTGGCCCTTTTTATTGCAGTTGGGTACTGTCTCAACATTTTCAGTGAGTTATCTACGACTCCCAAGATCTCTCTCTTGGTCAGTCCCTGCCAGTTCAGACCCCATCAATATGTATTTATAGTTAGGATTTTTGGCCCCCATGTGCATCATTTTGCACTTGGCCACACTGAACCCCATTTGCCACGTTGATGCCCACTCACCCATTCTTGACAGATCCCTTTGGAGTGCCTCACAATCCTCCCTGGTTTTCACCACCCTGAACAATTTCGTGTCATCTGCAAATTTAGCCACTTCACTGCTTACTCCCAACTCCAAATAATTAATGAACAAGTTAAAAAGCATCGGACCCAGTACTGATCCCTGAGGTACCCCACTGCTTACCACCCTCAACTCAGAAAATTGCCCATTTATACTCACTCTGTTTCCTATTAATTAGCCAGTTTTTGATCCACAAGAGGACTTGCCCTTTTATCCCATGACTACTGAGCTTACTTAGGAGCCTTTGATGAGGAATTTTATCAAAAGCTTTCCAGAAGTCAAGGTAAACAACATCTATTGGGTCCCCCTTGTCCACATGTTTGTTCACTTCCTCAAAAAACACTAACAGGTTAGTGAGACAAGGTCTTTCCTTACAGAACACTCACACAGGAGTGAGATTGAATGTTGTTTTATACTGCTTTTAGGTCGACGAATGCTGAATGATTGGACTGTGTGATCACCAGACAGAGATTAGTTTGTAACTATTTACTGAATGGTTAGACGGATAGGAATGGTAAGTGGAATGATTGTGAATTGGCTGGTATGATCAATTAGATTTTTATTTTTTGCAGCAGGTCATTCAGATTTATAGTTTTGTACAGCAGCTGAGTTAGATTATTGAGGTTAGCAGCACCAGGAGTGGATATTGCGGCAGCTCTGGTAAGGAGGATTGCCTGCTTAGCTAGCCACCGGCAGTCTGAGGCTATTGTGTGGACTGGCCGGTGAAGCAATGCCAGGACAACCGATTCTGGTGCTCTTGGGGAGGGGAAAGTACAGCGGTGGGTCCAGGCAGAGTGATAAGGGAAGGGCGCTGAGAAATAGAATAGCTCGGCGCCCTTCCAGCCTGCGACTCATCCCAAAGGATGTCAGCAGTGGGGCTTGGATTGGTAACCCCCCTCTGTCATTGGTGCTGTTTAACGCCAGGTCTATCAATAATAAGACCACAATCCTTCGGGACTTTGTTATGGAACAACAGGTAGACCTGGCGTGCGTGACCAAGACCTGGGTACAGGAAGGGGAGACTGTAGCTCTCTCCCAACTTGCCCCACCTGGGTTCTCAGTACTCCACCAATCACGCACTAGGGGGCAGGGGGGGAGGAGTGGCGATTTTCATTCAGGAGGCTTACTCCTTCAGGGCGCTCCCCCCGTTGGAAATTGCAAGCATGGAGTGTGTTGGCCTGACTTCAACGTCCATGCCGAGGACACGGCCTCTAGTCGGGCAACGGACCTAGTGACGTCCATGGCGTCACTGGGACTCTCCCAGTTCGTCACTGGGTCACTCCCCACTGGGACTCTCCCCACGCTTTAGGCTGGGCACACGATCTGATCTTCACAGCAGGGATTACAGTGGACCGGATTACTGCAGCGGCAATACCATGGGCGGACCACTTTGCCCTGAAGACCCATCTGAATGTTCCACCCCGACCCTGTTTAGGCGGCGAGCGGATTTTTGCTCGCCTGCGGAGTCAAGTGGACCTTGTGTGGCTCCAAATGGCTCTACAGGATCCGAGGCCCCCTGGCGGCTCGTTGGATGAACTTGTGGAGGACTAGCATAGCCGACTCTCCACAGCCATCGACAAGATCACTCCCCGGCACCCTCTGCGTGCTTGCGCTAGGCTTTCCCCTTGTTATACCCAGGGGTTGCGACTTATGAAGCGAGAGCTGAGACGGCTATAGAGTCGGTGGCGCTGTGCTCGCGATGAGGCAACAAGAGCATCTTATAGGATGTTTATTAAATCCTACAAGATGGCAGTCAAGGCTGCAAAGGGAGAGTTTCTAGTAACAGCGCTGTGACGCGGAACAGCTTTCGGATTGCTCCGGAGTTGCTCGCTCCTCCTCCGCTCTTTTGGAGCCCCCCTTATCTCGGGTGGGCCCCGCTCGTTCTCCTGGAGGGGGAATGAGTTGCAGGGGGTTTGTTCCAAAATAGCCAATATTTCAGACTTTGAGATAAAGTTACTCCGAGTTGGTCTGCCCAAGATATAGGCAATTAGCGGCCAGACAAGGAATGTGGGAAAGATTGATGTCTTCTCTTTTTGATTATGGGGTCAAAAACTTCATTGATAAGGACTGACAACTAAGTTAAATGTCCTAAATGGTGATTAAAAGCTCCAAAGCAAGAGTTACATTATTTGAGCTGAAATTAATTGGACAACAAAAATGGCGCTTGCAGAGGGAACTGAGGAGGATGAGCTGGAGGATAACATGCTTGTGGGAGAATTAACTGTTGAGCAGTTTCTGAAGTTACTGAGAGATGGAATACAGAAGGGAATACAAAAAGGATTTGAAGAGGCTTGTGCGAATATAACTGGAAAACGACAGAGTATACAACCGGATAATGAAATTAAGGAAGAACCGATACAGCCCAAACAGAGTGTTAAGGAGGAACAAGTTTGCCACACCAAGGAGTCGTTTGATGAAAATCAGCCCCTCTCCAGTATAGGAGTGGAAAAGGAGACAATGAGGTCATCCTATATAAAGACAGACTTAATTAAAACGAATAAGCAGAGAAGTTCCAGCAAAGAGGGGGGGGAAGCAAAAACGGCATGCCTGGAAGTTTAAGATGGAAAATATAAGACTGGATATAATATGGCTGAGACACAGAGGGGGGGAGCCTAGAAATTAATACACACACACACAAAGAAAGAAGATATTTGGACTCATTGATACAAAAATGTAAGCTACAAATTTTCAGGGAAAAAATTAAGTTATTTGAAGAATGAAAGA